AATTTTTAATGCGAGTCAACAAACGGGATGACATGGCCTTTGAATCGTGTCGATAGGGTTAAAGGCTGTTTTAGCGCATTTCCTTAGCTATCTTGATGAATTTTATTACTGCTACAGTTTATTTTAGTAAAAACGTATCACCTAAAACATGAAATAAATCCTTAAATTAAGTTTTAATCAACAAAAAATAACATTACAAAGGGTGTTAGTCTCCAACAGGAATGGATCTAAAAGGTAACCAATTTGCTAATTCGTATCCTTTCTCATGGTTCCACTCTGTGATGATCCACCATCTGAAAACAGAAATTTTTTTATTATTAAATACATAGTCAAATACAAGATTCATGCTTTCAATGCAATTATCACGATGGTCTGTTCATATTCTTATTTAACACAATGGTACTAGTTCTCTTCACAGTTTATAAAATATGCTTGCTACAAACAATGCTGAGTGATTTTCAAATTCTAGTCTTTAAAGACTTCACACAAAGACAGTGTAAATTTAAACTCATTTGCAGATACACTGAACATAGTTTCCTCAGGTATTTAACCCTTTTTCATACTATACTTTAACTCATAATTAAATGGTAAAAGTTCTATTATGTGTCTTCAGATTTTTTGCATAGAAAAGTATTCTGACTAGACTGGTAAATATTCAAAAGAAAGACAACTGATCTATATATATATACGAGGGTTTAAACATGCCACTGACTTCATGCAATCTACAGTGACCTATCTGCAGACTTTCTTCATTCTTTATAGAAGATATTTTTTCTGTCTACTTGTGATGTAACTTTACTAAGAGCTAGCCTTGCTTCTGCTCCTATTTCCAAGTCATTGTCACTTTTCTGATTTTCATGGTCAGTCACATCACATTCAATGGGAGATGTTATCTCTTTCTTCATGAGTCTCATTTCTGGACATGTACCATAGGAGATGAATGCTGCATGACCATTAGATATATATCTAGTGGGCCTTTCAGGCTCTGCAAGAATGTCACCTCCACCAGTAGTACCTGTGCCTTGTTTCCATTGATCCTGCTCATGATGGAATTGAACTTATTATTTTTAACAATTGCCTTGTCCTCTTTTTTGCAGCCATTTTAAATAATAGACCAATCCTGGTAACATCTTGTTAAACCTCTGGATTGCTGGTATCAGAGTTAGCCAATGGGTTTGGTCATATTTCAAGAAGGAAAGAACTTCCTTACCTAGCTCCACCAGCTTGTTTGAGAAATCCTCCCTTCTGCAAGGCTGTTTTTTGAAAAAATAGTGCACATCAATGATAAGGCTCTCTGCTGGGCTTTTCAGTTCTACAAGATACTTGCCAAATGCATTGTGGCATACATGAATTGTGCAGAATCTAACAAACACTAAGTCTTATCCACCTTGCTTGATGATTTCATCATTTATTTTGGATTTAATGGATTTGTTCACATTTGGTCCATCTGCAGATAATGACAGTACTAGAGTTACAGGTAGTGAATGATTATTGAACACCGTGATTATCTCCTTTGATACAGCCTATGTGTCTGCCATGAAGAGTGATGTAAAGTATCATACAGACACATCCTGTTTGGATTCTGAAAAATATTGCAGTAAGCAGTTGAACCATTTTATTTCCTGTGAAGTTGTGGTTTTATCAAAATGGACAGTGAAATGCATTCCATCTTTCTTAATCTCTTTCCCAACCCATGATTTAGAATATACTGCACTTTTGTTTTTCCCATAGCAAATTGTCATGTTATATCTGAATCTGGAAACATTTCTTGGAACAGTTTACCTATAGACTCGTAGCTGGCAAGACTAAAGTCATCAGCAACTGTCATTGTCCACAGGGCTTCAATTTTCCTTGATTGATCAGCTTTGGTAAGGTAACCTTGAACTGTCTTCTGAGCAGCTTTGTCGCGAACTGCAATATATTGAGCTTGAGTGGGTGCAGGAATGCCCAAATTATTCAAGGGAGGTGGAATTGACAAAACTAGCTCTTCATGTTTCTCAGATTGGCTTGTACTCTTTGAATCTACTTTCATGAAGTATGCACTTATGGATGTTTTGCACTTACAGGAAAAACATCATCTTGGCAACTCTCTGTCATAGATGAGACTACCAATGGAATGTTTGTAGATCCTTCTATCTTTGATGAGGCTTCTAATGGACTGTCACCAAACATTGGGTTGTTTGCAGGTACTGTGGACATTGTACATTTAAGTTTGTTAAACTGTTTTTCCTCCTTTATTACCCTTCCAAACCTCAAATTAGCCATTTTTGTATGCTTCTTTCCAGAGCTTTATGGTGAAAGTGCTTGAATTCCCATGTGTTCTACATTTATATCTATATCACACAGCTTAAAATGTCCTGTGAAGTCAGTTTTTTCTTGAAACTAGATTAATTTGGTGCCCATTTTTTTTCTGTTTTTCGAAGCCAGTGTGCCTAGATCTTTGCCTTTGAGTGACTCATCTTAAAACAAACTTGCTACCTGAAATCAAGAGAACTGTTCTACTAGTGTAAATGTATGTCAGAAAAAATTTGCATTTCATACAAAATAAGTCCCAGTCCCCAAAATTAAATGATGGAGAAATGAGTGCAAAGTATAGTAGTACAGAGATAATATTATGTCACCACTGGTAGTGCTTATTTCTGAGAAGTCAGTTTGAAATCATGTAATATCATCATGTGTAAACAATCAAGGACTTAATGTGTGGGATAGTCAATATTTTGACATGCTAAAAGATTCATTAATTAGATTGCATACACATTTATATTGCAAAATATCTCCAACATGCAACTTGGAAACTTTACAGTGCTTGGTAAATTGGTGTAAAGCCAAAGGAGCTCTATTCCCTCAGTTATGTTTCACTGGGAAAAAAGTACTTTTTAATCAGTCTTAGGAACTCGACAGAGCCAGGTTTAGAAAAATTGAAGGTTCTTATCATTGAATTAAAGGCTATTTTTTTCACTTTTAAATGCTTTAGTCAAATTAAAGGTGGCAGTGGCTGTTAATATTGCAACTGAACTTGAATATTGTTTTCCTGACACAATTTATGATTACAGTTATTTCTAATAAATTCAATTCACTTAAAGAGGGATGTCAGTGAGAATATTTTGGCCACTTACATCTTGTTCTTTGGGTCTAATCACCCTACAAAATACACACATTCATTATATTAATGAAGGCGTTAGTTTAAAAATAATTACATGTAAATTAGTTCTTGTATAGACTTTTTGGAAGCTGAATATTTTTCTGTAGTTTACAGTACTATATGCATACTGTATAGATCCTATGATTAGTCATCTACATTTCTAGAGATTTCTCTATTCTGAAAATTGTTTCCTTCAGAATGATAAACTTTATATTAATTATAAACATTTGTTCTACTTCTTCTTTTTTCCTTAAATTTCTATGGTCATGATTCAGTTTGTCAATTAGTATGTATATTAGACGTCATTTCTTTTTCCTGTACTATCAACCTATTTTACTTATCAGAGTACTTTAACCTCTCTTTCTTCTACTTCATGGCCCTTTTGTCCCACTTGAATTGCCCAATGTAGAAGCAACCATGATACCATTGCCCAACCCTCTCATTCACTGATTCTAGTTCAGGACACCTCTGGTGTCGTCTCAGTACATTTGTTCATCTCTGGGAACTTTGGGTTCACCAGACTCTCTTATTCTGGCCATATTCTTCATTTTCACTGCATTCCATAGGATCCAATTTGTCAGTAACTTCTGAATCAAGAAATTTCAAGCTCTTACTATCCTTCATGTGTCTGTTTTCCATTGTGTGTGATAATCTCAAATATACCGATGCTCAATGCTTTCAGACAGTTGTTGTAATCCTCTTTTTTTTGCCCTTCATTCCAGTTCCTCCTGTTCTGGTATCACCAAGATCTTCTGTGTCTTGCAGTTCTTCTCATAGCTCCCTTTTGGCAGGCACAACTGTGGTTTCCACTTTTCATGTGTTACTTCTCTAGAAGATCCTCTTCCTTTTTGTCATCCTTGAACTTCCATCTTCTACTCGGAGATTTAGCGCTTACATTTTCACAGTTGGTTGTTGCCCGGTTCTTTGCAAAACATGCAGGGTTTTTGTCTCATGTTTTGCCACCATTCTTCCCTTGCAGTGTACCAATGCATTAGGCTCGTTTTCATTATTCCCCCGTTTCCTGTCTTCTACACACTCCTCAAAAGTTGAAATCCTTTTTCTTGTATCTTTTTTTCATGAAAGAGGCCCTTCTGTATACTATATTCTGGTTACAAATCTGCTTTATCAGCCACCTTTCGATGCTGTGTGAATATCTTCACCAGGATGCATCTCTTCATCTACAACAGAAATTTCAGGTTTGTCCCATCAGCTTCAACATTTGGTGATGTCTTTGGCATCCTGGCCACAATACATTTTAAAAAATATCCTATAGGCTGGTAAATGTATGACTCTGAATACATTTTTACAATGTTATTTACATCATCATGCTATCTCTTCAGCTTTGTGATTCCACTTACTCCCATTTATTTGACTTTTATCTAGGTGGAATCAATAATAGGTAAGTTTACTTAACAGTAAAAAACAAAACAAAAACACTGCTGCTGTATGGCTAGAATATCTCTGTGTGGTTTGGAATTGTCTACTCAGGACTTGCGTATATTCATACAAAATTCTGCATTGGTCTCTGACCCATACCACCCTCTATGCTAGTGATCCACAGAGGGTGCTGGATGTGGACAGGTGGTGCTATCTGGTAGTGGAGAGTGCCTATCTTCTCATCTCCTTGTGAATGTTGTGTATAGTCTTATACATAGGATACAGTTATGAATCTCCACACTATCTCACAACTCCACACTCATATTGTTGTCCTTATTTTTCTCTACGATAATTCTGTTGTACTATTCTTGAGTTGTTGAGCCCATCCTCAGGCTCACCTAGTCGTATTGTTATTTGCTGGTCTTCTGTATGGATGTAGCATGTGATTACACCATAACAGTTTGTTCAGTTTTCTTTTACTAAAGGATAAAATGGTATATTTTCCATTGAGAATCTTCCATAATAAACAGAAGCTCTACTTCTTTCTTGTTAATGCCACTCCTGGTTACCATATATCTCACACATGTGTGGTAGCCTATATAATAATTGCCACCAGTTTAGTAGTCCTACTGAAATGCAGATTCAGCCCTTCTGATATATAGTTGGGCCTGAACTCTGTTTTTTATTTCTAATGTTTGACTTCACTAACTATTCATAGAGTACTTCATATTATCTGAAATGTGGGTAGTTAGGCAAACACATTTCTGTCAGCCTCTCCACAACTGTAAGATTTGCAGTTTCACATCATGGTTGTGACTGGAAGGCAGAGCTTTAGTAATCCACTGATGCATGCACAAATTAGTCACATTGGAGGTGAAAAATTGAGAACTGTGGGTAGGTATGATGCACATACTGCACCACATCAAGGACATTCATGTGATATTGACAGTTGAGTTCTACTTCAAGATGAGGCAAACTGTGTTTCAGAGGTAAGTAGCCATTTAAAATTCATTTTTAACTTTGAAAATGTAAAAGTTATAATTTACTTAACTTTTCTTAAAAAGCTTTTGATAATTTTTGATTTTAGGATATCAAAAACAATATAATCATAGCTCATAAAAAGAAAAAGTATGGCACTCGAAACTACACTAACTTCAAAAAAATATTAATGCAGTAATAATGTTTCAGCTTCTGTAGAAAGCAATTATTTGGCTGACATTTGTGTCTGTTTATTTAATATTCTAGAAGCTTCTCGAAATTCAGATGGCTGACTTTAAGATATCTGTTGAATGTATGTGGTCTAATGACGGGTCTTTTGAAGACTTCATTAAGAGAGAACAACCACTAGAAGGAATGAAGGAACAGAAAAAGCGAAAGCATAAACAACAATCTACTAAAAAAGAGACAAAACAAAAAAAGATGAAGTCTTCAAAACAGATAAGCCAAGGTTCTACTGATGACGAAAATGAAAGAATGGAAAGTGGTGATGATGAATGTTGAATGCAGCAAAATCACAAAAGTTAATTATATAAATGTTAGGAGTCAAATCATTTTTTGCCCATATAGATTTCAACATTTCTTCTCAAAGCCACTGTACTGAAACTTGAATTTTTATATAACTTTGGAATTTTATGACAAAGCTATTTGTAAAGAAATGTCATTTGTAACTGATCTATTCATATGAACTGTTTACATAGTAACTTTCCAGTTACATAGAAAATAATGAAGAACTTTGAAATTTTTAATTTTGTTAACCACTGTATATACATGCAGTTTTAAATAAATCTGTAGAACATCAACTGTTGGTTGAATAACTTCCTCTTACAAATTTATTTGGTTTGCAGCATTCAGTTGTATTATATTTAAGACAACAACTTCAGTTTTTACATGAGACAAGTTTGATTTCTTGAATTATATCACTAGATATATTAGAAACTAGTTTTTATACAGAATTTATACAATCCATTACAACTAATCACATTGAACTCTTCACACTAAGTAACTTGTATAGCTTATATTCAGGGGTGTCCACTGGGGTTGTGTGGGAGGATGGCATGCCTCTCATTGAAAAGCTGTACCACAAGTAGCTTTCTCCTAACTTGTGATAATCTTATTATTTTAAAATTATATACATTGTGACTCCCGCTGACCTCAAAGTGTTAGTTTTGTGTGTGTTTATAGGGGAAAAATTCTTTGCCCCTTGAAATGTGACTGCTTATAATGTTCTCAAAGATCAAAGTGGCTAACCTAATCAATATTAGTGCTACATCAGTAACTTGTCATCACCTTATCACAACTACCAGCTCAAGTTGCATATCACTGTGAATGTTATTTGGTTATTGTTTAATAAGTAAGTTAACCACACAGATCAGAACTACAAAGCAATTTATGAACTAATGAAGGCAATTCTATTAAAAAACCGACAAGAAATAAATACAATATCAATATTCCATACCCAGGAAAAACCTAATATGGTTTAAATCATCAGATGAGTACCCTCACCATTAATATTTTATGCCATTATCCCAATAATTCCTCAAGATTTAGCAAACTTAGTATATGAACTTGGGACTAACCTAAATTTCCTAAGCTAATAATGCAAAATATAATATATATATACATGTATATATATAAAGTTGATAAAAATGTTGATATTCCAAATAATTTCAAACATAACCAATAATATGAATAGAAAACTTAAAAATGGTGTATGTCATTATTTCAGATAAAGAATATTTGTCCTCTCACAAGAGCTCTCTATGGGACAAAAGGTAGCTGGATTTTACTATAAGATGTTAGAACTCGTGGATAGACTCTTGGTGATCTTTGTTATGAATGCAGAAAGTAGAAAATCCACATAGTATAAAATCAATTGCTTCAATATTGTAGAAGACTTATTTGCAAGTTATTGACTTATTGAAATTTAATGCAAAGAAGTAAAACCAGATTCATCATAATTTGTGTGTGTGTGTGTGTGATGTCCCCAGTATAGTCAATCTAGCAAAACTTGATGAAGTAGTAGAGTATCTGTTTACATCAAGGAGCATATTTGAGGTTGAAGGAATGTTTATTTTCACACTATCAGCATGAGTGGGTGTGTATGTTTATTTGTTTGTTGTTAAATGCAAAGCTAAACAAAGACAATCTGTGCTGTGCCCACCATGGGTATCAAAACTAAGTTTTTAGTGTTATAAGTGTTCAGACTTACCACTGAGCCACTGGTGAGAATTGGTTATGAAATCATGTTTGATGATTGTTTAGGCATAATCAAGCAATGACTGATTATTGATAGCAATGTAAATACTAATCAAACAGTTCTATGTAATTAATGATTTGATAAATCTTATTGATTGTTTTCTTAATTGTTATGTTTTTACCACTGTGGGATTGAGCATTTACCATCATAATAGTATGATTTAGATTCGTCTGATCTTGTTTTTGCATTGACATGCCCACTCATTAGCCATTTGCAGGTGGTCGTGCATGTGGTGCGTTATTTGTACAAGTGGGAGAAGAAGAGAATTTCTACTTGAGGCATAATTTTCCAGTGTATAGTTTTGTTTCTGCTGCCATAAACACTTCCAGATTGAATTGACCATAAAAGTTAAATGTTTCTATTTGTTTATTATAATCTACTGACAATCAGTCATCAAAATATTAACAAAGTGTTTGGTTGAGGCTGGTAAATGAGTAATTTCTGGTACAACCAATGACTACACATACCACTAAATAATAATATAAAACAAGAGACATGTTGAAATTCCAGAACTGCTTTTACAAAATAGTTTATTTATGTGTTCTAGAGAATAAACTAATTTCCAATCTGTACACACACACACACACACATAGATATATAATATAGCAAAAAGAATGAAAATGTTGATCTATTCAACATGTTAAAACTTTTCATCATGAGCCAAAAATGGTCTGTGATTCAGATTTGAAATTTGGTTTTTTACCCTTTGATTTGAACCAAAAGAATCAAAATTCTCAACTAGCATTCAAATTGGAGAAACACTAAAATCCAGTCCTACTCTCTGAATCAAGATAAGACCAAAATAAATGTGACTTAAACTAAGAAAAATCTAGTACTGTCTTCTACCCTGGAAAAAAAATCATAGAAATCAAAATGCCAAATCTGACCCACAGTACTCTAATCTAGAAAAAAAAAATCAAAATTTTGAATTCTTATATGAACAAAAGTGAAACTAAATTATTAATTAATATCCATTACTGCCATTTGACAAAAGCAACAAAAGAAAACGATATTGTATTACAAGTTTAAAATCTAAAGGCATTTATATTTTTCCTGATACACAAATTAAAAAAAGTAAAAATTAAATTTAGATTTATCACAAAGAGAAATAGTGAGTTTAACAAATCAGTAAAGGAGAACATGAAAAACCGGAAATTTCTAAAAAAGTAAAAAAAAGTAAAAATTAAATTTAGATTTATCACAAAGAGAAACAGTGAGTTTAACAAATTAGTAAAGGAGAACATGAAAAACTGGAAATTTCTAAGGAAACAGTTCACAACAAAGGAGAAGTTTTTGTTGCTTAACAAAATACTTTAAAGAACATATAAACATCAAACCAAAATTAAATATAATATTACATTAACTATACCATGATTTTTAGAATTTAAATAAACTTTGACCAATGGTTGTTCTTTTAGATGAATAACAAGTGACAAATAATCAGTGAATTCCATGTGGAAGATAAATTAATGTAAGAGGAAGAAACTGTTATGATCTTTCTCTGTTCTTTTTTTTACCAGAATGGTATATTAGTGGATGTAGGAAGAATCAAAGAGATATGGAAAGACTGTATACTAATTGTCTTGAACTTTTCTGTAATCATGTTTATTACCATTATCAAATTAATATGATAAAGAATAATAACATTTGACTGTACTAAACTACAGCTATAACTAAAATGAAAGTTTAGTAAAGTGTAGAATGACTAAATATCTATTGCCAAGTCTTTTACCTAATTTCTGAATAATACAGCATCCAGTTATTTAATTATCTGCAGTGAAATGATCTCGTGAATTTCCATTGTATTTAACCCAGAATCAAACTTCTAATTAAAAATATTAAACAAACATACTCTACTTTTTGATGTTGCAAAGAAATGGGAATTTTGTTAATGTTTCACAGTCCAGCCCTTCAAGTTTTAATTCAGAAAACAAAGTTAATGATATAGAAAACTACATAATATGAATCAAGAATCACATTATTCAAAAAATGAGCACTGGAAAATAAGAACTGCACTTATGAAAAAAAATAAAAAATTCATATACAAAAGATGCAGAGCATATCAAATTCTACTGATAACAGTATTTGAACCAACCTTTCTTCTTAGAAGTATCTTAACTAACTTTACAATTGTTGAGAACTACTGAAACTTCACTGACAATCTTTACAAAAGGCAGTCCATTTAAAAACTTCATTATTTTAATTTCAACTTAAGCAATTTTAAAGTACTTTATTGAGCAGGAACTGTAATATTGCTAGAGCAATGAAATTAAATGATGTGAAGAAAATCACCGAACCTTTAAAATCATTTTATTTCATTAAAAATGATGGATAAATTCATTAAGTTTTATTGATTTGTAAAATTAATTAATAATATTTTTTTTTTCATCAAAGTCTATTTACTGTTGACCTTACTATGACTATTGAAAATCTAGTTAACAATCAAAATAACATAATCTGCTCTTGATTAAAATTTAAGTTGAAAAGACTTGATACAGTATGATTATTTGTTTATAAAAATAATACAATAATTTCCAACCATAATACGTAAACTTGTTCAGTTGAATAACTTACACAAATACAGAAATTACAAAAATCCACAAACTATGATTTTTAGAAAAATATTTTATGAATGAGACTACAGTTATTTTTCAGGCGATTATTATTCCAATGTTACCAAAAACCTAAACAAACTTGGCCATTTGAAAAAGGTAAAACATACTGCAAGATTAATGCTAGATCTCTGTTGTAATCAATTTATCCATCACATATTTACAGAAGATTACATTTGTATAAACAGGGCTGGATTAATGAACAATCTAACCAAGTTATAACTTGGGCTCCTACAAAAAAGTAGGGTCCTCCAAATAGTGAGCAAAAACTCTTCCAATACTCAATGACTATGATTGCTGTTCATAATTTCCATTTTATGATCCTTTTATGAATAGACCAGTTTCAAGTTACCATCTATAAACATACATTTCAAATATAAATTTCTTTTGAAAAGATATATATTGTATATTAATGAATATTTTGTGCTGCTGCTTTACTATTTTTATTTGTCTAGCTTGCAATGTTCAACACACAAATACCATTTGTATATCTATAAAACTCTTATCTCCTCCCCCAACAGTTTAATCCAGCCCTGCATACGAACAAAGCAAACAATTTTTTTATTGATTATCTTTATCTTAAATAGCCACTTTATATCTTTAATATTCCAATTTCTTTCTCTCAAGGGTTTGAAATTACTGTTTTGAAAAGACAAAAAGTTTGCCAGTTCCTCTAAAATTCTTTGCTTTATTAGAATTGTTATTAAGAATGTTTGAATTGTTATTAGACCGAAATTTCTATATTCAATGGCAATGATGGCCTATCTTTAGGTTGTTGCATTGTATATTTATTTGAACTTGTTGTTTTCTACTTTTGGAGTCAAGTAATTTGCTAAGTACTTTAAGAATGATTCCTTCCCAAAGAGGGTTGAGGGATTTGTTTGTGAATATTGTTGCCATTGGCAAATAAACTAAAAAGGAAATAATTTAATCATATTTACAAACAGTTGTTTATGGAGCTACTTAAGCTTGTTATAATAAATTTTATCATAATCATATTGAGCTATTTTTTTATATTATTACGAGTTGAGGTATTGTAGTTGCTGGAAATGAATAAAACTATCAGTTTTCATTCATCACACTTTAAGTTATACAACTTTAATAAATGTATATAGAATACCAAATATACACAAGTAAGACCTTAAGTTGAAATGTAAGTGTTACTAACAGTAGGTTGAAGGTATAAAGTATTATGGAGTTAGTGCATATAATTATTGGACTATTCAGAGAAAGTTTAGATTAGAAAATGCTTACTAGTATTAAAGTTGAAATAAATGTTTGTAGATTAAATGGGTTTAGAGAAAGTAGCAATCATACTTCAAGAAGTTTCAGTTTTTTCAAAGCTATTACTTGTATTTTAAGATCAGAGAAGGTTTCTGAGGTTAGTTTTAATAAAAATCAGCAAATGCACTTAAGAAAAGTTGAAGCAGTTGTTCTTTAGTGACAATATATATAAACCTGGAAAAAAGTTAAGCACCCCCAAATATTTTTCAGGATTGCTTATTGAAAATAAGGTTTAATTTTCATGATGTTGAGCAATGTTCATAA